GTATCATAAGATTTTCTATATTTTTATTAATAAAATTATTAAAAATTTTAAAATTCTTAAAATTTTATTAATTAATTATATCTTTATTAACTAAGTAATCTAATTCTAGGCATAAATTTATATTAAAACCATATATTAATATTTTATATTTATTACTTTTAATAAAATATACTAAATTTTACTAAATTTTACTAAATTTTACTAAATTTTATTAAATTTTATTAAATTTTACAAAATTTTCTATAATTTAATTTTTTACTAATTAAATAACCAAAATCTAAGATTTAAAATACTTAGAACCTAGCCCCAAAGCTTTACAAGAGCCTAAAAGCTAGAAAATTAGTAAATTTAAAATTAAAAATACTTAGAACTAACTCTAAAGCATTACCTGAGTCTAAAAGCTATAAAACTATTAATTAACTATTACATTATTAATTGAAATTAATAATTACAAAATCTAAGATTTAAAACACTTAGAACCTTGCCCCAGAGCATCACCTGGGCCTGAGAGCTAGAAATTTATAAAATCTAAGATTTAAAACATTTAAGACCTAGCACCAAAGCATTACCTAAACCTGAAAACTAAAAACCATAAATTACTCATTATATCTATTAATAAAATTAATAACTACAAAATCTAAGATTTAAAACACTTAAAACCTAGCCCCAAAGCATCGCCCGGGCCTAAGAGCTAGAAAACTATAAATTAATTATTATATTATTTGTTAAATAGTATTTGAGATTTAAAACACTTAGAACCTAGCCTCAGAGCATCACCTGGGCCTGAGAGCTAGAAAATTAGTAAATTTGAAATTAAAAATACTTATAACCTAGCTCTGTAGTATCGCCCGGGCCTAAGAGCTATAAAACTATTAATCAATTATTATATTATTAATTAAAATTAATAGTTACAAAATCTAAGATCTAAAACACTTAGAATCTAGCCCCAAAGCATTGCCCAGGCCTGAAAGCTAGTACAGTTAATATATAGTTAGATCAGAAGTCACAGTTAAAATCACAACAATAAAAATCACAAACATCAAAAAGAAAAAAAAAAAAAAGAAGGAGTCAATAGTAAAACAAACAATGCATATAACAATCGACCTTCTTGACATAACAAACATTTGAAGTGAAGTTTGGTCTTACTGTCATATGCTAAATAAATAAAATTGTGCCTTCAATGATAGAATTCAAAAAAAAAAACTTGGAACATGTGATTCTATCATTTTATTACTCACAGTTGGCTTGCTTTAGCAAGTGGGAAACTACTGGCTGCTCTTATGATGACTCCCAGTGCAATTACAATTGCTTATTTTACAGGTAGTCTGTGCCATTCTGGCCAACTCAGCCAATTGCTCACTTCTCTATTATATATTTTGTTAATTTCTTAATAAAAATCACTCAGTCTAAATTAACTGCCGGCATAGCTTCCAAAAAGAAGAAAACAAGTGCTGTGTAAAGTAATTTTTTTCATCTATATTAGTTAATATGATTAGCCTAAAAGATGAATTTTCAGTATTGCCATAGTTGTATTAGCTTGATATATTAATAACCACCATTCACATACAAAATTCTAGACACTTTGTCCCATTTGTATCATAATAACTCTAAATATCTTTCAATCTGAATAATTATCTATATATATTTTTAAAAAATCTAATCAAAAAATCTGATCAAAAAATTCAAGACCAACTTTGATAAAAAACATTCCATGTAATCTGATATACAAGCTCTTAATTGATTGATTATTCAGATTATCACATCGTTTATTTGAAGAATTGCATTCAAATGACCAAATAAGTAATTCATGAGCAGCTATATAAAGTGTATCAACTATAAGGTTTTAAATGAAATATGAAATTGTTATAATAATTAGAGATGAATCAGTCAGTTATTACCAGCTAGCTGCAGCTATAACCGATCAATTATTTAATTATTTCATTAAATAGAAAAACCAATCAGTTATAATTTTGGCCAAATTTGCAGATTATTTGACTAGATCTAAAACAAAACAATTTCAAATCTGGTCAAATGATCTGCAAATTTGACCAAAATTATAACTATAGGTTTTCTATTTCTGTTGACACAAGTGAAATAGCGAGTCTGTCACTTGTTGATAGGATATGTCATGTAACCTATAAATGGCTTAGTTGATAAGAGGCAGTTAGATTTGGAGAGTGGTATATTTTATGATCGTAGGTATTATAATGCAGCAAAGACAAGCAATTATTTAGAGACAGGTTTTATGATAAGCACTAACTGAACTGTTCTTGTAAGGTGTGAACTCTTTATTATATATTGTTATATTATATATAAGCTCTTTAAGGTACTAAAAGCATTAAATGTATTATATTCCTTATATCCTTTTAACATCCTTTATTATTTAAAACCCTTAAATCTCATATATTACTTTTACTACCATTTTCTCTTAAAACTCTTATTGCTCCCATATCTTCTAACAGATCGAAAAGACTTATAGGACCGATAATTCCAGGAAGCCCATATTAGGTAGATGATTGACATAGCCACTAATTGTTACTGTGCCATATCGATTACCTCTTTCATATGCTTTCTGGATCATGTTTTACGGTTCACACTTAGGGCTGTCAAAAAGCTTGTAAGACCTGATTCTTGAGTCGACTTCACAAGGACTTTTTAGAACTGAGTTGAGTATGTCCCGAACAAAGTCTCTTTTGTTCTAGAAGGGCATGCATATGATTGGCTAATTTATATTGAGATCAATTTGACCAAAGTATTACAGATAACTTATCAAAAAGCATTTTATCAAAAACTTATTTTTTGCTTTACAAAAATAAATCTTCATAAGTGCACCCTCTATAAGCACACACTTAAATTAGGCCCAACTATTGTATAATACATAAATTTGCTTTTTCTTATAGTTTCCTAAGTGTATACTATTAAATTTTGGTCTTAGGTGCGAGGCAATGGCATTTGTTCTTTCAAACTGGTTTTGTCAATTAGTATCTTCAAAAAAAAAATTTTTTTTTTGATTATATACTGCCATTAAATTTAATTGCGATATTAAATGTAAAAATACTCTAATTATTGTGAGAATATTGGTTAATAAAATTTATTTAAAATATCAATTTTTAACAATGTTTTATAATTTAAAATCCATCAAAGTAAAGTAATTGTTTCATTATTTCTTTTGCAAATAAATTATATGGGCAATACTTTATTTGTAAAAAAAACAGATAAAAGTGAAACAATAAAATTAAATGTAATTGACCTTTAAAACAATTATGATCTTATAATAAATATTAAAAATGCATAATAATTTCTTAGAATTAGTTAGCAATAATTAAATTAATTCTTTATGTTATGTTGCATATTCAAATATATAATATGTAACTATTTATCTTTATTAATCTGAGTATGCATTAGAGGCTCTTTTAAATATTAATGCTGCATATTAAAAAATATTACATAAATTTGTACATTGAATTGCACTTTTTCATTTAAGCAACAATAAATTAATTCAGTAATAAAAGCTTTATGTTTTCCATTGAACTTTAAAAAAAAAATATCAAATAAATAAAATCAATTAATAAATAATTCTCAATACATATTAAATCCATTTTCTAAATCTTCACCATGTCTTATTCTAACTTATCTGCTTATTTAGTTTCTTCAATTTTTAATTCTATTTCTAATCCTAATTCTTCAATTTTTAATCCTATTTCTAATCTCGATTTTTCAATTTCTAATTCTATTTCTAATCCTAATTCTTCAATTTCTAATCCTATTCCTAATCTCAATTCTTCAATTTCTAATTCTATTCCTAATTCTAATTCTTCAATTTCTAAACCTATTCCTAATCTCGATTCTTCAATTTCTAATCCTATTTCTCACCTCATTCATTTAATTCTGAATCCTATTCCGAATCCCATTCATTTAATTATTAATCCCGATTCTTTAGTTATTAATCCTACTTTAATTTTTAATTCTAATTCTCTAATTCTTGATTCTCAAAATGAAAAGATTTATGAAAATTATTCTGATGATGATATTAATACTAAAAACTATACAAAAAATTTAAAAAATTTAAAAAAAAATATTACCAATTTACAACTATCTGGACAAAACTGATGACAACCTTCATGTTTGTATAATATGTAATAGTGATCCTGATATTGATAAACCTAGTAAATGGAGCATGCTTACCTCTTTGACAACAATATTACACCATTTCAAAAGTAAACATTCAGATGTTTACAGAGATTTTTATCGAAAAAAAGCAAAAACTTCTCACTCTTCATATTCGATAACTAATAAAGTTGGCAAAGATCGTATCAATTCTTTAAACTATGACCCATATCAGTTAATTATTAAGAGCCAATTACCCTTTTAATAGTTGATGTCGACCTTTTTATTAAGTTTGTTTCAAATCTTGATCCTCAATACAAACTTCCATATCACCAGACTGTCTCCAAAACTATTAAAAATAAATTTGAATCAATGAGAACAGAAATTAAAAAAGTATTAAAGTCAAGCTTTAGTAAGCTAGGACTTATCATTGATGTTTGGATAGCATGCAATAAGCAACAATTTCTTGGTATTACTGTTTACTGGATCGATACTGAATGGATTTTAAAAACCTTTCTTCTTGATTTTATACCTTTACATGATTCTCATACTGGTGCATATCTTGGTGAAAAAATACTTGAGGTTATAGAAAACCTAGAAATAAAAGATAAAATTATAGTAAGTATATATTAGACAGTATTGTATGAGTGATGTCAAGAGAAAACTGGACTTTGATCATATAAAATTTATATGATCAAAATCAGGTTTTCCCTTAGCATCACTTATTTTATACTTATATTTTAATATTTATCATTATATTAAATATTATTATAGGGCTTTATTGGAGATAATGTTTCTAATAATCAAATGTGTTTAACTTATCTCCAAGACCATATTAACCCAAATTTTATATATATATAATGTGCCACGCATATTTTGAATCTTGCAGTCAAAGATAGATTAAAACATTACATCAAACAAGTAAAACAAGTATGATGTATATGTAATAAAATTAGAAATTCACCTTTATTATTAAATGAAATAAAGAGAATTTTTACTATCTTTAATTACTCATTTCTTTATCCTGAACTTGATGTTGAAACAAGATGAAATTCCACCTATCTTATGATTAAATAGTTCCTTGAAATTGAAGATATTGTGGATAATCTTGTGAGAGTTCATCCCAATTTAAAAGAAAATTATTTGGAACCTGAAGATTTGATAATAGCTAAAGAAATAGGTTAATTTTTTGAACTATTTTACATGATGACCCTAGAATTGTTCAAGATTGAAATACCTTTGCACTGTCCATTATGAATTTTTTTAAGACTTTTTCACACATCTTGACTTCTATATTAAACAAACCAATAAAAATATATATCGTAAAACAGCTCAAGGTTAGAAAAAATATTATTAGATATTTTTTTTTTAAAAAAAATAAATTTATTAATTGTTTTTTAATTTTTTTTATTTAGAAACAAAAAAAAACTATTAAAATACTGGACCCACCTTTCAAAATCTTTAGCTATTCTGACACTTCTTGACCTTTCCATTAAGTTCGAAGCCTTTACCAATGAAGATCATCAGTTAGCTATTGAAAGCTTAAAAGATTTTTATTCTTTTTATTGTGTAGACACAGAAATAATTAAACCTAAAAAAGATCTTCTTGAGTACTTTCAGAATTTGGAAAAAATGAATAGAAATAAAGAAATTATGACAAATGAGCTTGCTACTTATCTTTCATTACTACCAGAACCAAGTACAAATCTCTTGTGATGGTGGAAGACAAAAGCCTCCCATTTTCCGAACATAGCCTTGATGACAGCTGATCACTTTGCACTCCAGACTATGAGTGTTACATGTGATCATGCTTTCTTCATGGTGAAACATACTTAAAATCTTGAAAGGAATAACCTTCTTGAAGAACCCATACAAGCATCTTTGTGTGTAAAAAGCTGGTACGAAGCTGGGATCTTAAAAATGAATATGGAAATATAAAATAAATTTTTTTTTGAAAAGTATAGATAGAATATATAGAATAGAACGTTTAAAAAAAAAATTTTATTAAAAAAATTAGATGTTAATTAATTATTAAATCACATACCAGTATTACATATTACTGTATTATTATTATATGGATGAACTCGACTCAAGGACTGAGTCCTAATCGAAGTCCCTATTTAAGGAGTCTGAACTCAAAGGATCAGACTTTTAACAGCCCTACTCACACTGTATTGGGCATCCTTAAAATGTACCTGGGGTATAGGCTCTTAACCTATGACCAAAAATAAATAAATTAAATTTAAAATAGTCATCAC